ATTAATTTCTGAATTAATCTGTAGTTGAAAATAAAAATAACTCCATCAAGAGGCAGAAGAAGTTGCCTGGAAAAGCACTTCAACCAGCCTGGGAACAGCACAAGATACTTCTGGCTGTGCTGCAGCTACAGCACAAGGAGACCAGCAGGTACCAGTCTGCAGCTGGGGCACAATAAAACCCTTCTACAAGCTGAGCCAAGAATAATCTTCTTTAAAAGTGCTTTACTACTTACAAATGTTGCTCTTGTCCAAGTGTTTTGTATTTGCTTCAGTGCAGTTAATTTTTTTTTTTTTTTTTTTCCTTTAAGACAATTAGGGGCTTACTGTAAACCAAATGGGATTTCTGGGAGCTCTTCAGGTTTTTAAATTATGCAAATGATAACACTGTGATGTTGAATCATATTATTAATTGTATATTTTGTTCTCATTTCTGAAGTGTATGTATGAATCAAGTCCTTGAATACAATAAGTTTCAAAAAAATCCCCAGGCAGATTGCAAAATTATTTTTCTCAATTTTCTTAATGCTAAAGAAAAGTATAATTTTAATGCGGCAGAGTATTCTGTGCTGATAGTTTTACAACATTGTGTATGTACTGTGAATAAAACAAACTTCATAAATTATTGTACTTAAAGCTGGAGACCTTTCTGTAATTTTTAAATAAAGTGTTCTATTAAATTCCATCCATAAAATGCTTGATGCCTTGCCTCCTCGGCCGATTTGTGATTTTGCCTGTGCTTTTGAATACCTGGTTGAAAAACTCTTAATGCTACAGGAAACTGGTTGGTAACTGAATAAATAACACTATAAGTATTGAACACTTCCACACAGTAAGTGTTATTTTGCAATGGATTCCTCTTGCTGTAGCATAAAATGGAAGTACTCTCTATAAATAAATAATACTCTGAATAAAAGGGGTTTACAAACATTATACTTAATTCATGTCTCAGCTGCCAATTTCTACAGTTAATTTTACCAGTTTTCACACTGTGCCCATACAAATGGAATTATCCTTGTATTAGAAGACGTCTTTCAATGATGCAGAAAATCATATTTCTGCATCATTCTTAATGTTAGCAGCTTAAGAATACATCTGTCATACAACATCCAACTCAATAAAATAAAAAACTGAGTGAAAGTTATCATGCAAGTTTTTTGATTGGACATTTGGAACATTTGCACTTTTGCATACTTATGTCCAAGTCTCAAATGTACACCTTATGCAGTCCATACCACTGTAAATCTGACTTGGATACAGGTAGTGTAACAGGTTTGCCAAATTATGGTGTCAGTGTCACATTTCTCCCTTGGGATGTCCAGACTACTTGCTTTATTTTTGCCGGGGAATCTATAGTTTTAGTAACTAATTATTCTCCAGCTCTCATTAAACATTTTAATAGGAGTCTTTCTCCATGTACCTTTTTTGTACTTTTTTTCAGGGATGTAACGAAAACAGATTTAAACATTTTTAATGCTGGATCATCTGTTTATGCATAATATTGATCTGAATGTCAAATTTAGCTGATCATTAAGGAGGGAAAGGGCCATCAGAATCATTCCATGTGCATGCATAGGTTTGAGATGTAAATGTCCTGAAGAGAGTCTGCATTTTAGCCTAATATGCCAAACAGTTGCAGAGAACCATTGCTCTGGGGAATCACCCTCTGTTGATGCGACACTGAGAACCAAAGGGATTCTGCACTGAGTAGCCATCCACTAATTTTTGTATATTTTTGAATAGCAGGCATTTCCCACAAAAACACTTCTACTTTCAATGTTTACAGTGGTCTGCTGGGTAGCTATATTTTTTTCACCATTATAGTGAATGGTGATCCATTGGAATGCAAGATTAGCAAGATCTGGAATCCCAGGTTTCGTTACTTCCCTTATGATATTTTCTCTAGTGTTGTTTAGATTAGTACAAACGTAATGAGCTCTGAATTCACTCATCATGTGCATACATGCCACATTGTTTAAGAAATTCATGCAGCTGCTTCCTATCTTGTACTGCCAGGGTGCCTGCACGGTGCTCTGCTGCTTTCCTGCCTCTGAGTCCCTGCTCTCCAGGTGCACCACTGGTTGTGTGCTCCTCTGGCAGATATCCATCCCTAAGGGAAGCTCACTTCTGCTGTCATTTCAGTCTTCCTTTTATTTTTAAAGGGATGGGTAAGGGCGGAACCTGGTTGCTACCAGGTTCAGCATCTGGGGAAGAGAGAAGTCTGTGTATATCGTGACATGCTGAAACTGTACGTGGTATTTTTTCTTTAGAAGTTCATTGTTTTATGTTGGAAATGCAAAACGGGATCGATCAGCCACTACAGACACCTTTCACTTCATTAGAAAAGACTTTCAGTTTTAGAGCTGTGTCTGCCCTGTATGAAATAACCCATGCTAAGAATGAGTGTTTATGGAATATATAGGTTTATGCAAAAGGACATTGTTTTTATATCAATAAAAACTTTTTAAAATTATTTTTGTATTCTAGTCTGGGACATCTGGTATCTCGGTGTAGTGCAAAATTGCAAGTGCAAATGCATTATTGTAAAATAAATGCTTTGTATTTATGTTACTTATTTGGTTGTGGATCTATCAAAAAATAACAGGAGCTCTTTTCATCAAATATATGATGACTAGATGTGTTCTTATTTAGTTTCTGTCTAGAAAGATATTTGCTACATAAAAATATCCTTGAATTTAAAGGTATTTTTGGCTTTTTTAATGAAAAAAAAATTAACTAATGTGGAACTTCCGACACTAGTGACATAATATAGGAAATTTCTATTGCTGGACATACTGATGGACTGAGAACTTAAATCCTCTGAGCAATCAATCCACTGGCTTTTATGAATGCTTAGGGAAAAAAGGAAATATATTACTGGAAAAGAGGAAGAAATCTTGTTGTAGCATATGTGATGGCCAAATTCAGAAGAGACGTATGTATGGTAAAGTCTCATGTATCATTGCAACTGACTAAATAGAACAAGCGAAAAGAAAAAAAACCAGGAAATAATACTTTTCCTTTAACAAATAAATTTTGAAGGAACACCTTAGTGAGGAAAGAAAAAGTATTCTGATTGTGACTGCTTTTCTGCTAACAGGAACAAGACTTTTGCTAAATATCTTCCTAATTTTAGTGCCAATTCAGCAGGTCTAGCATGAGATAAATCCTTTCTTGGGAGAAGCATTGTTCATTACATGTACTGATTTATGAGACAGAATCCGCTGTATTTAGGTGATGGCTGGACTACTCTGTAAAACTTGTTTGTGCTTAATATACTAGATAAATTGTTCCTGGCTTCTTAGGGTGTGACTATATTGTTGTCACACTCCCAAGTTTACTTAACTTTAGTGTGTGATTTGCTGAGTAGGTGTAATGTATAGGAAAACCCAAAGGGATGGATTTTATATACCTATTTTTTTTCCCTTAAATTCATGTTGACAAAAATTTTTTTTGTCCCTTTTTTCTGCCCTTCATCAAAGTAAAGTCTCCTCAAGGCTACAGGCAAATTTTAGCAGCATGGAAAATGACCACCAATAACCTGAGCAGTATGAAATTTAACTTAACACGGTGACTTTGTTTTAGTGAGAGGAAAACACCAGTTACTGGCTGTCAAAAAATTCTACACTGAATCTTAACTTTATGGGCAGCAGCTTTAAAATCTATTTAATATTCTTATTTCTTCAGTTAAAATGTTTCCTTCTTCAGTTAATAACAGGCTGTGGGATTAAATCTTAGCTTTTCATATTTAATGGGAAAAGCAGTATAGCAATTTATGAGTAAAAATGTACTTTGAATAAATTATCATTGCAAATTACAGTTTATGAAAGTTGTGACTATAACCATAATTACAGCATTGGCTGTGCACAATTTGAAATCTTGCTTGCTGATTAAATTTGTTTTCATTCAGATTGCGTTCCCAACATTTTTAGAAAAGAGTGAATCAAGCCTCACTGACAAAATTTTCTACTGAGTTTATTAAAAAGGTCACCTATGTTTGCCAAATTTGCCAAAAACATAAACTTTTCTTGAATTAGTGAGATGCTATTTTAGTCTGTTATGAGAGTTTCCTACTCAGGTTTACTAAAACAGACTCTTAGGGAGACTCACAAGAGCTTCTGTATTACACCATCTATATATCCTCAAATTGTTAAAGTTAAAATTGATTGTGCAAGCCGTTACCAAAAAAACAGCCAATAGCCAAAATTAGGTATATTACTGTAAACTGGAGAGACAGGGGGAGAGGTTTAAAGCTCTGTCTGGCAAGAGAAGGGTTAAGGACTTTTTTGCTATACCCGTTTCAAATTACAATGAGAAGCCTCTTCTTTCCCAGCAGGGTTGTGCTTACATTAGTCTTTAGATCTCTCTTGAAGAGAGCTGTTATATTTGTGCCTGCTACAGTTGGAAATAACAGTTCAGAAGCTGAAAAGGGTTGAATGGATTTACAGAAGGTTATTTTTTGCAAGTAAATTCATGGCAACACATTAATTCGATTAGTACATGCTTTAGAATTACTTTACACTCAAGAGATTCAAAAGATGTTAAAGTTATCTCCAGGCTGCTGGACAAATATGTGTTACACCACCAAGGTACAGATCAAGACAAATCTGTGACTCAGGATTTTATCTTGGGAAGAGCGCAAGGTGTACGAAGAACTCAGAATAACGAGGGAAGATAACTCTGGGAACTACAATGTGTCAGAAGAACATCTCTTGCTAACACAGCTCCCCACCAAAGACCTGGTTATCTAAGGTTTATATAGGAATGCCTAGGTCAGCTGACAAAATACTGGTCTTCTGCTCCATAAATGCAGAAAAAACGATAACAACAGTGGAAAATTGGAAGTCTGAATTTCAGCTTTCTTAGAAATAACTGCAACCTGACACATTCCATAATATTTAAACAGGGTGGGGGGAGAGGAATCACCAAAGATGTTACGATGTTACGTTTAGAGATGACATTGACATGAAGAATAGGTAAATTTTGTTTTTCAACTACTGGGAAAGCAGACCTCATAGGAACTCAGAACAAGTAGGAGAAACGTTGTTGGCTTTTTTTTTTTTTTCCTTGTTCTTTTTCTTTTCAAAGATGAACCTAACTGCGCTCAAAGCTTTCGTGGGCTTGCTCTGGAATTGCTGGGTTCTGGTGGGTCACGCACAGGGAAGTTTAGGAGACAATCATGTCCATTCGAGTTTTATTTACAGGAGGCTGCGGAACCATGAGAGAAGGGAGATTCAGAGAGAGATTCTCTCTATCCTGGGTTTACCTCACAGACCCAGACCATTTTCACCAGGAAAGCAGGCTTCTTCTGCACCCCTCTTCATGCTGGACCTGTATAATGCCATGACAAATGAAGAGGATTCTGAGGAGCTGGAGTATTCACTAAAGGGATCAATGGCAGGGGAGAGCAGAGGGATACGAAAAGGATACCCTGCCTCTCCAAATGGATATTCACGGAGAATACAATTATCTCACATGACCCCCCTGACCACACAGAATCCTCCTTTAGCCAGCCTGCACGACACCAACTTTCTGAATGATGCTGACATGGTCATGAGCTTTGTCAATTTAGGTACGTGGAAATATTTTTTGCTTTTGCTTTCTCTGACAAACTGTTAGCCTAATGTTGCGAAGGGCAAACCTCTCGGCCGAGCTGTAACCTGTTCTAAAACAGCAGGATTGGGCCCGGGCTGCTGTGCCACTGGTAAAAGAAAAATCATACGGATGGTAAAGTAGCTACATTGTAGGTGGCCATGGAAAAAGATTTTTCTTACTGTTTATATAAAGTCAGTTTCTATAACTTCCCTCTGCTGGCTTCTGTTTTCTTTCTTTCATTGATGTAATGAAAATTCTAGCCTTAGGCCAACTAACTCCTTTTTTTTTTTTTTAAATCTCTAAAAATCAAACACTTATGCCTATTGCTCAGTTATTTCCCTCAGTGTTTTCCTTAAAGCTTGCACATGAACAAACATCAGTTGTTAATATTTTAAAGTCTGGAAAGGTATGCAAAGGGAAAAGTTAAACCATTAAAAAAAAATTTCTTAGGTTATTTAGTGGTGATTTTTTCTGTTGTTAAGAGTCAGAGTTTTATTATCTTTTCAGTTGGATGGCTGGATTTTAAATAATCTGTTGCTTTTCCTTTGTTATTTCTATTTAATAACAACAGACTGTGTTTTATTATACTGCTATGGTGCTCAGAATCTACAATGATCCTTATTTTCTCTGTCATAAATAAATTAAATGACAAGTAGAGTATTAAACACTAGAAATATGCAAGCAAAGAATGCTTTTGAAAATTATATATATTCAGATACAAAACCTGATAAAACTAAATTATGTTGGCTTCTGAGTGTAATAAACATGCTTGCCAGTTACATTGTAGGAAAAAAAAGCAGTTACAGATTTCTTTAATAAAACACAACTTAAATCTTATCTAGACAGCTGCAAATAATTAATGAAATTCATTTATTATTTTTGTAAGTTTTTATAATGTCTAGGACTCATAAATTTGGCTAAAAATGCTACTTCTCATTGGACCCAAATAACAAGAGATTTAATTGCAAACTTGAAGTTTCACAATAAACTGGTACAAATACAAAGATGAACTCTTGTTTTCCAGGATAATACTCTCTGTAGAAACTTTTTAACAGTGGCACAGGTTCTGAAATACCTTCATTTTATCACACACATTCTGTATTTTTTATGTCTATCAGATTTTTAGTAAATATTAATACTCCAAATACTAAAATTCTAGTAAGGTAACACTCTAGAGTTTATTTGCCATAATAATAAAGTCACATTTCATGAATTATTTGACTGACAAGGAGGTGTTCAAGTCTGAGATCTTTTTCCTTAAGAGTAACAGATGTCCACACCTCTAAATACATTTGCTTGTTGTTTTTGCTCCAGAAATAGCAGGTTAGGAAAGAAATGGAATCTGTTTTCTGAATATGTGCTCCTTATCATTAAAAAGCAGTTATATGCTGCTCATGTATTACTTTTAAATTAGCATTGCATGCCTCAATTTACCCAGAGTATCTGGAGTCAGCTGCATTCAAAATAGCAAAGTTATATGGAAAAATCAGAAATGCTTTTACCCTCAGCATTAGCAAGGCACTGATCCTGCAAAAATTTTCCTTGTGTGTCCTGAGAAGTTCCCTCTGTAAATGTAACAGGGACCATTCCATCAGCGTCTCTGAGGACTATTTACACGGGACTTAGCCTTTGATTTCAGAAATGTCTTTGATTACAATAGGACTTCTTGCAGTGAATGAGTAGAAGTCTTTGAAGTTTCAGTGTCAAATATGTCCTAGGCTGATCCTACTGTGCTTTCCCAGACAAAAAACCTTCTCTGGAAGAACTCAAGTTTCCCCTGAGTGTCTTACCTTGGGTAGGAATTTTCTAATCTTTGTCTTATTTTGTTGGGATGCCAGTGTTGCCTTAAGAAAGTAATTCTGAGAAGCTAAAGCTTATCTTATGTTTCAAAACTGTGAAAACTGGGGCTGAGATGCCTTATTTTTCTAGTGATTAATATTAATAGATACCATTAACTTATAAAAAAATACTGTGTAAATATCAGATTTAATTTGGCATCTGTAAAATTAAAATGCATCTCAGCTCTAAGTTAGTTTAAATCCTAATTCACTTTAAATACCCTTCCATACAAGTTGGATGCTGTGGTATATCACACATTCCACAGTGTAAAATGTGTAAAAAATATTGATGACCAATATAGATTAGCTTCAACATTTTTATTAAACAATCCTATGTTTCGGTATAATTAGTACAAAAATGAAATAAATCATGGAAACAAGTAACCATTTTATATGATTTATGCAGTATGAGATTGTGACAGATGAGGGCAAGCTCTTATAATGCAGAATGGGGAAAAATATGCAGTGATAAGTGAATGCTAATGCTGTACCTTAAAATCAATAAATGCTGATGCAGCACAGTAATAACTCAAATGGATTTAGAATTGAAGCCCCAGTCAACTTGCATTAAATAAATCTCCTCTGAAAATAGTATTCACCATGTTCATACTTGCACACCATTAATTACATAATGTGTAATTATAAAACTCTATTAATCATCATGATATTTTAAATTGAAACTTTTGTATATAGTTGTACCAGTTATAACAATTTAAGTCATATATATTGAAACAAGAAATCTGTAGCTGAGGTGTTAGATACAAATTATTAAGCATAAGAATTAAAAAGACTGAATAAGATTGAAAAGTAAAGAAAAATTAGACAAAAGCAAACAATTTTATACTAAAGAATAAAAATTTTAATTTATATGCTAACTTTGATTAAAACCCCAACCTGTTGGAGCTGCAAATACCTCACTTTCAAATACAAATTCAGAAAATAATTATCAAGGGAGCTGCAGTCATGATTCTGTGAACTAACCAGGGACAAAAATAAGAATGCATTTATTTCTCCTGAACTTAAAATTGCAAACACCTGCTCTTTCTATTGGAATTTATATCAGAATTTCCATCTCTTTCTTTCTTGAAAGATACAAGAAGACAGAGGCTATGTCTTGTCCTGTGTTTTGTGTAAGACTGTGTGCGTTGGCAACTCTCCATAAATATTGATGAGTGTAACAGAGGAGTTAACTGGGTTTGGTCCAGCAGTCAAAGAATAATTCCTCCACTAAACACGCTGGGGTTTTCAAAGATCTGATTATATCACCTTCAAATTCAGAATTTTGTTTTCCTGACTGGATGTTTTTTATCCTATTATAATATTTTATTATACTATTGCAAAGCCCTGACTCTTTTGAGTTCTGGCATCTTCTTTTTGGCTGGTATCTCAAAATGACATATATAGGATACCCTGTTCCCCAGAGAACAGGCAAATAATACTTATGCAGTTGAAGTCACTTTTTGCTCACTCAAAATTTAGTTAGGGAAGGACTTTTTTAAGATAAATGCTAGTGTTCCCACTCTTCACCTCTTACAAAAAGAAGGGGTTTGAACAAAATAGATCTACATGGATGAGGCATGGTAAAGCAACAGCACTTTTGGAAACTACATTTAAGCATTTCTAATACTGATTTTTCCATTATCATCAAAGTGATCATTAAATCCACTATACTTAGGCATTCCTGCTCATGCCATTCAAATGGCCTGTATTTTCATTTTTTTACAACACATCTGTTAATTTTTCTCCTAACAGATTGTTTCATTTGCTAAGCAAGTCTGTTTGCTTTCTTGTATCTTCCTGTTAATTGATATGAACATTCCATAAAATGGGAGATATATATATATATCTGCTTTTGTGGTTTTCCGTTATGTTTTATTTTTTTAGCATATAAAATTAATTTCTTAAATTTGAATGTGAAGATCACAATAAAATTTGTGACCCTAACATACACATGCTAAGAAGGATACAATAATTACTGAGATTTTTTAAGTAACCAGTTCACTCCAAAAAATTCATTTTTCCTTCTTCACAGACAATGTGAATGATTCCACAATCTTAGAATAATTTTGAAACCGCACATGCTGTGTTCAGTTCTTAAACCAGACACTGAAATCAATGGAAATTTTGTCTGAGGTACAGAGGACTATTCATATTTCTCCAGCTTCTCTATCCCAACTTTGAACACTGTTTTGCAGATTATATTCTTCTTTAAAAGCTGAATGATTAAACAAATACATAAATTCAAAAGATTTATAGCCCATTGTGTTCATTGGCAAATGCTAGCATGGCATAGAACAAATTTTACAGCTACTTTGAGAAACCAATAGTACATCAATCCACACCAAATACCTGTACAAATACACTTTTGTTACACACGAAAAAGAAAGGATTCCTTACTGCAATCAGACCCTGAGCATACATAGTAGCTCGTTTCTTAAATTAAACTAATTCAGTTTCTACAACCTTCCACTCACAGCTAACATATCATCAGCGAGGAATATGGAGTGCTAAGCTATAAAATGCCAGGAGCTGAGGAAGGGGTTTGAAGGATACACGCAAAAAGGTCTCAGGATCATTAACTTCTCTCCTAAAGCTTAGGAATGAGCACACTTTCTTTCTTTTCCACAGGATTTCAGATGTTGCTGTCTTAATTTTAACCGTACGCGAATTTCTTTGGCTGTGGTACAGTTTTAGTATATAAACGCAGGCTTAAAATGAAAATATTGACACAGCCTTCGCTGAAGAGATGGAAAGAGCACTATTATCTTGCCTTGAACGTGCTATTGCACAGATAAAATTTGTTAAATGACAAATAGACCCCATGTCTTTAATTGTGGAATTGGATCAATACTGAGAAAAAATGAGAAAACATTTGCGAAGCTTTTATTCAATGGCAACCCCAAGTCAATAAGATGTCATTTTTTACTCTTTTACATAACATTTAGTGCAAATTGGATCAAGCAGGTTAATTTTCATGCGAAGTAGACATCGCTTGGCATCTGGAAATCCTGAGACATTTTTTTTTTCCCTTTATTAAAGTTTTGTCACCCAGTCAGTGAGCGGAATGAATTTCTTGTGACCTAGTACAGTTAGGCATTAGAAATAACCATGAATTATGAAATAATTTTCTATGAACAAA